GCTACTCGAGCCAGGTGGCCTCTCAGCTTTGTGTGAATAAACCATTCACCATCAAGGCGTTCCACAACAGTTAAAAATTCGTAAATCGAATTCTCTAGCAAACAAGACAGTGCGAACCTCTCTAAAGAAGCGTGAAGCACTGGCAGTTATTGAGTATCTTATCTGCTCTTCACTAACCTAAAAACACATTCAGCTGTATGAGCTTCAATGCAAACGAAGATACTAATTCTTTGCCAGACTATTCTAGCAGGTGCCGTCTGAACGACTTGTGGCATAGCTGCAAACAAGTTGATTGGATCTAGGCAAGCACATGCATCACTGGTGGTGTACGCGAGTTTTCGTCTCAGGGCACTAATGCAATCAGGAGACACGTTGTGGCCCTGAGCTCATATCTTCTCCCGCTACTGTGTTTGGAGTTACCACAATGCAACAAACCAGCAATGATCCAAAGAACTTTCGTATGTACGCCACTTTTTGGCTCTTCATACAAAACAGTGGAAATATGGAAAAAGCTTGTCTTAGGATTTTCCATCAGTTATCTCATCGTGCTCGTTCACGCCAAAGCACCATTAAATTAGCTCATCATTGGAGACCCGCATCAAGGAGTTGCGTATTACATGGAATTTGAAAACATTACCTTATAACTGCCATTTCGAGTATAGGTACTTTTCCTAAAATTCTCCTGACGCTGCGATTTCAAGCTCGTCAAACAAGTTACGCGTGAGTGTTTTGAATTATTTTTGAGGTTTCCAGTCTTATTGACTTGAAGTTGATAAACCGAAATGGAAATTCATGAGTGTCGAAAGAAAAGGTGATTCAAGGAATAATTGGCTTTACGCAATCGGAGCCGGTTTAAGTCGGCAAACAAACATGCGACGTGCTCAATTATCTACATCAAACCGAAGGATGCAACGTTGAAGACATTCTTCCTTTTTGAAGGTAACTAGGCGAAACTTGCGCAATGAACTAATCCTAGACCACTGCAAAGGCACAATACGCGCCTACCGTAATGCAAGAAAAAAGGGGACGAAGGAATGGTTGTTTATATCACTTATATAAATTCATCCATCCTATCAATCACACAGGAAAGTTGCTCTAGAGGCAATGCGAAAATGCTGTGCAAGGCGAGATTCTATGAAGCAAAGGCTATTATAACACAG